GGGCCGGACCTGTTTTATGGCCTCCAAGATCGCCTGATCTGAACCCTCTAGATTTCTTTGTTTGGGGATATTTGAAGACATTAGTGTATGGTACTCCTGTAAATAGCCTGGAAGAGCTGCAGCTACGGATTAATCAAAAGTGTCAAGAAATCCAAACCAAGGAGGGTGTTTTCGAAAGAGTTCGAATATCGTTGAGACGAAGATGTCGTGCCTGCTTGGAAATGGACGGAGGGCACTTTGAACATCTTCTGTAACTTTGTTTTTTGTTTGTTAAAAGCTTCCTTTGTCGGTTTATTCCTAATAAAATAAAATGTTTGAAAAACGAATAGTGGTCCATATCTCCGCAACCGTTACTTTGCGGACCCATGTTTATTAAGACTTTTCTGCTTATTTTGGTTCATACTATTACCTCCTGAAATATTTTACACTCTTTTTTTAACACCCTGTATATGGCGGCACCAATCAAAGTGCTGTAAACTGTTGTCACCACTATATTTTATAAAGCTACTGCAATATTTGTCTATCATATTTAAAAAACAAAATAGAGAAAATTTCTTTGTGGTCAACTTTAATACTTGGCATAAATATGAAAATAAGTATGGAAGGTATCAGTAACTACAACGAACCTGTCTTGGAGCAACTTCAGTTTGCCTGATGCGTCAGATTTGTTATCGCTATCATTATTTGTTGCAATTTTCTCCATATTTAGTCTTACATTGTCACTTAAAGTATTTAATACGGACGAGTGACAGTCTGTAAGATAGATGCAACTTGGTGAACACCCTATAGCAATTGTCAGACCGGTTAGACCTACGCCAGATCCCAGTTCCAAGACTGCTTTGTCTGTGAAGGCTTCTACATTTAACAGTGACCATTCTGACAGTGCAAGTGCTGCCTGAAATTATTTAGATACATATATTCACATCACATGTCTTAATAAGTTTATAAAGTTTACAAAATTAAAGTATATACAGTGCGACCCATTTAATATGGAAACACCCTTTCAAAAATGCTATTTGTGATGTTCTTCGTGTTTTATTAGAAAAATAAAGCTTTTATAACTCTACTACATTACAAATATCTGAATTAATTTTTAATTATTAAAGCCTATTAGTATTTTTTCTTTTTGTTGTCAAATATGGACAAAGTTTCCTAAAAGGGAAAAAGTCGTACCTATAATAAAAACAAGAGTTTTTCCATCTGAAATGACTATCATTGTATATGGTGTCTTGAAATTAAGGTGCAATATTGCAAAAACCAATTCTATGACTAATAATAAGAGGGATACGTTTACATGAACATTATATTATTCTACTTTTTTTTAACGGAATATCTAAATAACTAAACTAAAAACAATTAAGAAAAAACTAATTATCTTTATTTTACACCTACTTGCATATGTAAAACTATTTCTGTATTATAGGTAGTTTGAGCACTAAGCTTTTGGAAAATATTTATGAAATAGTCATCATTATAGAATATTTTTAAAATTTACTAACTTAAGTACCTACCAGTTTTAAAAGTTCATATATTTTAAATAATATATGATTACATGATTTTTGGTGCGTAACTGTGTATAATTATGTCGTACGTACGTGGTGGTGAAAAAAAAACAGACAATTCATACTGTAGTATAAGACAAAAAGACTACGAATTTAACGTTAAGTTGCTATATAATTATTAACAAATAAAAGTTATTTTCGGAGATACCTTGACTTTTCTTTTAGAAAACAAAGCAAAGATAGTTTATTTTAATAGAAAATAAATAAAAGAGGGGAAAATAATGAAAACAATATAAACAATGAACAAATCTATGAAACAAAATTAATAGATATTAGGAAAAATATTTGAAATGTTGCCCACAATTTGATTAGTTCTTGTGCATAGATAATTAAAAGAAAAAATAGAACAGTTGAGTTTTTTTACACATTTATAATGCTCAAATGTCTTGGATATGTGCATATGCAAACTATTTTCTACTCGCTCTAAAAATACAATGGTTGTTCCATTTGACAAAAAAAAATCAAATTTCAACATCACAAATCGCCAAGTGATGGCCTAAATTTTGATATCTTGGAAGCTACCCTTTAAGCAGGGTCGTAAAATATCCGTAAACTTTAAACGACACCCTATGTTGAGTGATACCTCATTTTAAAGCTTTTTCAATTTTGCACACGACGACATACGACTTTTTTAATTTTGGTTTAGATATGATAATAAAATCATCACTTAAAGAATAAGACAATCAATGAAATGAAAGAATGTTATTTTATTAAGTGTCAAATTGGTTTCCCTCCGCTTCCATACAAAAATAAAATCTTTGCTACACTTCCGAACGAACATTTCGCAGCATTTCTTCAAAAATTTCTCGATAAAAAAGTTGTTTTGACTTTTCCTTTATCTGTCGATACAAAAATTTTACACTCTATCAGTTCAACTTTTTACCTGTTTTACTATAAACGAGTTAATATTGTCTTCTCTTGTCTTGTCGAGACAATATTCCGTAAAATTAACACAAAGTCGATTAAATTCCAATTCATGAAAATGATTCATACAATTGCTAAAAAAGTGGAAATAATTAGTTTGTTCTACAAGAATAATGACTGTGCACGGTAAGCAGCACAAATTTTTTGTGATCGTCATCTTGTCAAAAACACTTCGCATCGGTATGTCCTGGAATTAGTGCATAAATTTTCGGAAACTGAATTGGTAGCAAACCGAAAGCATCAATGTTAACAAGTCGTAGGTACGTCAACCAAGTTTGAGTATTAGGAAACTTGCAAGTACTTCAGGAATTTCTGTATCTAGTTCACCCATACAGTTCTGTGAAAATTGTGCTCGAAGGAATCCAAATTTTTTCCGAGGAATTTACCTACGTTCCAATTGAATGTCGAGTCAACCGCCATAATTGCCGCTACTGAAGTGATGAAAATCCACGCATTTTTCATTAAACTTATATGGAAAATGACAACGCTTTATCAGAAGAGGATGTGTGGTTTCAGCAGGATGGTACTCCACCACATTATACCGTAGCTGTGCGTGATTTTGTTAATCAGAACATTCCAAATCACTGGATAAGATTCAGAGGTTCAATTGAGTGGCCTCCCAGATCGTCCGAGCTAACGTCCTTACACTTTCTATGGGGACACAACGTCGAAAATTTATATAACACATCCAAACTCACTTGAGGAACTTCGTCGGTGAATTGGTGAAGAATGTCGTCAGATAACGCCAGAAATGCTTCAAAATGTTCGTTCAGAAGTGGAGCAAAGATTTTATTATTGTATGAAAGCGGAAGGAAACCAATTTGAACATTTAATAAAATAACATTTCTTTCATTCATTGATATTTGATCTTATTCTTTAATTGATAATTTTATTGTCATATCCAAATCAAAATTTAAGAAGTCGTGTGAGCAGAATTGAAAAATTTTTTAAATGAGGTGTCACTCAACATAGGGTGCCATTTTAAGTTGAAGGGTATTTTACGCCTCTGCCTAAGGGGTAGCTTCCAAGACACCAAAACTTACGCCATCACTCTTGAAAAGAAAATCGATATGTCTCAGTTTTTTTGTTTTTTATTCTGATATTTTTCAGGTGTGAAGTTTTAATTGAAACACCCATATAGTTGGTACTACTTGGGTAGTAGGTATTACTTGAAAGCAACTGAAATTAATTAAATTCTGATAATTTTCTCTTTTCAGAAATAGAGCCTTATTGTGGTTGTTACTTGAAAGAACTTTATTTTATAAGCTCTGTTTGTATTTAGTTTTTCTTATATTTTCTCTAGATATATGAAAAACAGATAGAGTTAAAAAGTTTTTCGTCAATACAAACATGTTATTTTATCAAATGAATATAGGACAATTTTTATTTTTTGAGCAAAATATAGATACACAGTTTATATTAGTGTTAATTACTGAAAGGTAGTTTATATTGTATTACAGCATTAGCGATTATTTTAATTTTAATTTTTTTTACATGTTTATGAAACCAACAATAGGTTACATGAATACCCTCTTGCTGTTTCCTTTGCAGTTGTATTTTTCTGTACTATTCTTTATATTTCTCATGTGTGAAAAGATTGATTATAAAGTTTAAGTGTTTTCAAACACGATAATTTACTGATTTATAATAAATGCATTATTAAAAAATATTTCTCTAAAGCGAATAAACAGTAGATAATAAAAATAATTATAATAATATAGTAAATTCACTTTTACATATTTTCCCTCATTTATTCAATCTAATAGTTTCTGTAATTGATCAATTACCATTTTCCCTGACATTTATTAGAGACTGTGCCATTAGGACAACCTATTTGACCTTGCCATCGGGAAATCCACTATAAATCAAGAAAATATTTTTAAGGATACTCGCACATGTGAATGCTAATTCTAAGATTACGCTAAAATATTGAAAGCCATTAATAAAAATGTCTAATTACATATTTGAGTCATAGATAATTTGCATCTAATCTAGCGTTTAACAGCAATTACATGATTGCTAATAATCCTTTCACAATGATTATGAACTGCTGTTAACACCAAATCAGTATGCCACTGTTTAAAGTTAAAATTTCCTATACGTACTTAATTTATGTTTACTTAGTAATTTTAATGTTAAATTGGGGTAAGTAAGTATCCACTCTTGTCAGTTTTTAATTGTTGGTACTGAGTTTCATTTTGGATGAATCAGATTCAATTAAATCAATCAATATAAAATGTGAATTTTTAGTTCGGTAACAAAGCAATGCAAAATAAAAGAAATTGTTGACCTTGAAATGAATTGCCTTTTCGTTTTTCGACCTAGGGTATAAATATGCCTTAGCAGCGTGTCGTCTACGGCGCTTTCCGCGACTGCCTTACTTTTATTAGACGTTAGAATACATTAAAATAAACAAAAAAACCTTAAACCGTTTCCGAGAAAAAAATTATTAAAATGTCCAACATGAACAAAAGTTCGATTAATTAAGGAATATTGACATAACTGTGTGCATAGAATAGCGTTGTAATAAATTTAAAATTCGATAAAATTCATATCGAGCAACGTGACAACGGCGCGGAGGATAATACGAGGTACTCAGTTGTTCAGCAATACGCATACGTTGGTATCTGGAATTGGACCATGTCTGAGTGTTTTTTTGCGTACCTACCACTATTTCCTTTTTTTTTTAAGTGTTTTCCAGCGAGTGCGCGAAAATTGGATTCGAAGGTGTGGTGCGTGCATCGAAAATGGTGGTGGACATTTTGAGCATATGTTGTAGTTTGTTTTGTATTTGTGCGTTTAAAAATTACTAAATTTTGTGTTTTGGTAAGTTCCTAAATTATTTTTAATACGTATGAGTATTTGGATGACGTAATTCTTTGTTTACTTTAATTACATATTTTTCAAATTCATAATTTTATTAAAAGATACGTTCCTGTTTTAAGAGATTCATAATTACTAAAATTCGAGCTAAAATTTAAGCACAACATTATCTTCGTACTATAAAATCGATACTATTTTCTTTATTTAAAAACTGGAAAACAATTGTCTTGAAATTTACTAAATGTTTCATAATAATAGTTTTTTACATTTTTTCCGTAGAACAAGTCTTACGCATGCACACGTGGTATGCATCAGCTGTGTAGCGCTGTTGTCACGTTGTGATGAAACTTCCCAATAACTCGCTGTTTGAAAACTGTTAATCTTACGCCCCTGTAATATACAACTTTTTCTTTCATTTATGATTACTCTATATCATGCTGAAGTAATGGCAGTCAAACTTGTTACACCCTGTATTATACAGGGTGAGTCGGGAGAATCACACCAAACTCCAGGAATGAAATTTACACGTCAAAATAATAAGAAAAACCTCAAATGTTGTAATGCGATTTTCATTTGTTTTCAAGTTATAACGTAAGTACAAATTTTAAAAATTTGAAATCGAAGTAGGTAAGTCATGTTACAAGTTTAAATGGAACATTGTGATAATCGTCTGGAGTTCTGTCGATGGATTAATAATAATCTCGTTGTATCCCGCATGCATTCACCCATGACGACATAACTAATACTCGTAACTCTCAGGAATAGTGAAACGAGTTAGTCGGTTGTCCTACCTATGACACAATGATGAGGACTAATAACTCCGAAACCGGTCTGTGCCTGGTGGGTTAAATTGACGAGCGATCCTAACTGTTGTTTTGCAAGTCGGCACGACAGACAGATGGAGCCATTGTGCTTCGCGTACTAAACTTACTTAAGTTTGTAACCAATCATCGTATTTGTTTCATCATAGAAATGGGGAATTTTTATTAAAGTAAAATAATATAGCACAACCGAAAAGTATACGGATTTTATGAAATAAATTCATAGTTACAAATAATAGTCAAGCTCGCCAATATTTTAAGAACTCTTAAGATGTGACATATCTCCTACATCCATAGAATCTGATATAAAATATTAAAACTTTTAAATATGTTTAAATCATGCCAATCATTACGTCCCATTTAAAATAAATTTTATAGCGACTATTTAGAGATAAATAACTTTTGTAATACTTATATAAAAAAACACAAATTCTTATATAAAAAAGACAAATAATGCCACAAAAATAGGTAATTATGAATAAACTAATTTAAATGTCCATATATTTTTAGCAGTGTAAATTTCTTTATGAATTATTTTTTACCATTTAATGCATTGTTTACATTAAAATAAACCTTCAAGGTTAAATATAACTTGTCTCCGTATTCTGTAAAATAACCATATAATATTTATTATTCGTAACTAATATGAATCATTTGCCTTACATCAATGCTAATAATGCATCTTGTCTACATTTAACTTGGCATTTATGGTTAGGTTTATAAAGTAACATTCCTTTGAATGTTGTATTTTAGGTGCATAAAAACTAAGTTAAAAATGGAATGATTTATATGGTTTTGTCCGTATTATTTTTTTATTGACAACATTTATTTTTGAGTAGTAACATCTAATTTAAAAATGGATTCTAAAAACTAGTTACTAAATTAAAAAAAATATCAATCTGAGATTAAAACATTCTAGATAAATTTAAAAAAATTATAGATGATTCATGGAATACTGGAATAAAAAAATAAATAGCGAAATAGGTACAGATGTAATGACACGTCTTTAAAATCGAGGGGCATTCATATAAAGAAGAAAGTATTTTTAAATAACAAAGTTTTAGAAACATTTACATAAACATATTTTCCTCTTTGCTGAGTTGTAAGAAAGAAAATTGAAAAAAGAAAATTTGCGGTCTCTTTTTAAGTTTGACAATCGTTTCAACATTATACAATATAATACCAATGACTTATTTATAAGGATAATACAGACTATTCCAGGTCTAAAGCATCAAAATTAAAGCGAGCTGATTTCGAAGCACCCCGTATGTACTCTATGTACTGTTTAACTTTTCGGACCGCTGCTGACCGCTGACCTACATCGATAGTGAATCTTAACCTACCGTACTGTTCGGTCACTAACTTTAATACCTATTCTTAACGTTTTCACTGTTTTATAATTGAATAAGTATTTTTAGTTTTTAGTATTACATAATAAATGTTCAAGTAGGTAATTATTTAGTTTGTAGTACATACTGTGTAGCTTATTACATTTCAGAATTGTATGGTACCTACTTATTTAAAATGACAAATACGGCTAAAAAACACTCATTCGTCCATAAAGTCTTAATAAAGTTGAGATCCGTTGCACTTTGATTTTGAAAGCTATTGCAAAACTGGACAAGACGACGACTAGGAAATCAGCTGTTTCGCTACAACGTCTGATCGCTGGCCTGCGCGGCGCATTACCTATTGCGAAGTGGAGCGCGGATTTAACAGGAATTAAGGGGTAATTTTTTACTTTATAAAAGGTCGAGAAAATTTTCTTATGTCTTTACTAGGCGTTCCGAATACGTGTTTAAAATTAATGACATTATAACTGAAACACCCTGTATACATATTTTAATTTATATATTTTTTTAAATTACGTACGACCACCAAAGCAAAGGCGTGCCATTATTTTATACACTAATCCATTGTCCTTTTAATGTTTAACATTTATTAGAATATGATAAATATGCATAATGATGCAGACAACAAAGACAACTTAAAAAAAATCGAGGCAGGCTCTACAATTTTTTAGTAATACCTATATGACGTTTTTCTTTTGGGTTAAAAGACTACTAGCTCTACAAAGTTTTATCCAAGTATACATAAGAAGCAGTTCCGATACAGGTCAGCTGCAAAATCATTGTTAATTACAGTTTTAGTCATGTTAAAAAACACCCTATGTTCTATAAACGGTTAGCGTTAAAGAATAGATAATAGTGTCGTAGCTAAGCCGCTCAAAACTTATTTTGTATTAAGAGAGACAATATAATAACATTGAAGGTGAGTGCGCCCCCTTGAGCTTTTTGACCACGGCAGACCCCCCTCGGCCATCACCTAGCTACGACGCTGTATGACTGTGTTTTGAAGTTAGCTGAGTGTGTTCTAGGTATCTCTTACTAAAATTTGTTAGGTACTTTAAACCTGAGACATTCTGTATATCTGTAGAGATTAAGTAATTCATTACCTGCCAAGTTCTCAAACCAGTTGTACCATCTGTTACCAGATGAATGTTTTCTTTTAAACTTACAATGTTATCGCTGTTTTTTATAGAATAGTGCTTGAAATATTCATTTCTAGAAGGTAGCGCCACCAGTCGTCCATAAGCCGAATATAGCTCGTCGTGTACTGGAGAACCCTGTTTCTCTAGCTTTTCGATCAAATATTTTAAAAATGATTTCTGATAGTTTATTTCAATTTCATAATTTAAAATTAAGCTGCAATTTACAGTCCTATTTGCTAATATTTCTTGAGTTTCATATTGCGTTAAATCTTCGAAAATATTCTAAAAAGGCAATAATTGCTAATTTAGATTTGAAGGTTAGAAATTTTTAGGTTAACTATATTATTGTGAGTAGGTACATGGATAGGTACTTACATTCCAAATAAATCTTTGCATTGGAACATTACACAAAAACTGTTTGACGACATAATCAATTTTTTCTCTTACTTTTTCAGTGGGCATTTGGACAAACTTTCAAATACCCGTTACACTTTTCAGGCAACCTGATGGCGCTGAACACAATAGTACAAATAATGAAAATAACAATGTTAGAAAGGTATCTTTAGTCCACAGCTTCATTTATAGATTAATTCTTGTATATCACCACTTTTTTAGTAAATTCTAGTTTAATACATAATTAGTCAAAATACCAATTATAGGTAGGTATAGAAAAATAAAATTTACATGTTCTATCTTTTGCTGTAAAGTTGTTTGCAAAATACTTTTCATACGTTAAGATAGATTTCTCTACTAATGGATAGATGGCGCAACAGTATGGTTAAATCACGAGTGCTTTTATAAATCGTGAAAAACGCGCGATAGCTATTATCGTTCAGTGAGAAATATAGTATATTTCCTCACTCAAGACAGGCCAGACTGGGTCACAGATCAAGCCGAAATAAAGATAATGAAGAAAATATATACTTATTTTGCAGGTATCACTGATTGAAGGTAGATAGGTACCTATATAATAAATTTTTTATGCTGAATGGCAACAAAAACTATTTTTTAACTGACGGAAACAAAACTCAAAAGGTTTTCAATGAATTGAGGTTCACAATAACACACAGGGTGTCACCTAATGAATGTTACGTACTTCAAGGGGATAATCTAGATTCCAAATGGTATCAATTTAACCAAACTAGTTTAAACGTATAATGTCGCAAAAAAAGAACCGTTAACCGATTTGAGCAAAATTTGCTGTTGCTTAGTTTCTCTTCATGAAGTATACAGTGATTATGTTCCTATTAGGTTAAATCATACATGGCGTTCTTTTTACTACAACCTTTTGTGAATATTCTTCTGTAACTTTTGTACGTTTAATTTTGTACGTGCAGCTATCAGAAATAGGTAGATAATTTTATTCTACTCAAAAAATATACCTGTGAAAACTGTAAATTATGCTCGGTTATTAAGATATTATAAAAAATATTTATTAACACATACCTCATATTTTTTGGAAATAACTACGTATCCATAATAAACATACTTAATAAATAACATAATAAACTGAAAGGTGGCAGTAAATAAAAGTATAAACTCATTTATAATAAATGTTCTATGTGTCCCCCATTCTCTTCGACACATTTCCTTAAACGTTTTATGAAACTATTGAGAATAGGAAACGAATTATACGTTCGTCTAACTTATCGAACGGCGCGGCGTTTTTAATCTATCTCAAAGTTCTTCTTCCGTAAGAGTTACAGAGTTATAAACAATTCTCTTCAAATTACCCTAAAAGTAAAAGTTTAATGAATTAAAATCCGGACAGCGAGAAGACCAACTACCTCGACCAATCCAACGGTTCGGAAATGACTGTAATGAGCAGGGGCACCATCGTGCATGAACCACATTTGTCGTCTAGTATTAATGAGCCCCAGGAAGTTCTTGCCGAAGGGACATCAAAACATCAAATTTTGGCCGTTCAACCTTGCAGGTAGAGAAGTAGGCTCCAGAATAAAATTTTCTATAATCCCACACCAGACGTTTACTGAAAATTCGTGTTGGAAATGATACTCTTTTATTGCGTTTGGATTTTCTTCGCTCCACACGTGAGAGATTTTCCAATTAACAGCACATCTATGGGTAAAAACAGCTTTATCTGTAAAGGCAATTCTTCCGAGAAAAGTGTGATCCTTGTTATTTAACTGGAGAAATCGTTCGCAAAACGTTAATCTTAGCAGGCGGTCTGGTTCAAACAAATTTTGTAAAGGGTGAAAATGGAAACATTGCAACTGCTGCGTGTGGAGTAGTAAAAAAAAACGACCTGTCTGTTTTAACCTAATAGGAACATAATCACTGTATACTTCATGAAGAGAAACTAAGTAACAGCAAATTTTGCACAAATCGGTTAAATAGGTTCTGAGGTAAGGAGAAAACAAGAAATGAGAAAAAAAACTTTAACACCCTGTAATTTTTTTTGCGACATTTTACCTTGAAGTTTAATTATATCGACACCATTTGGGTTCTAGATTATATCTGTGAAGTATGTATCATTCGTTAGGTGACACCCTGTATAATTCAGTTGATTAACAATTTCCAATGTTATTAACAATTTAATGCAAAATTTTTCAATACTTTCATTTGATTGTTCACTAAATCAACAACTAGGTATTGATATTTTTTAATTTCCCTATGTTGTTCTGTAGTTACTTTTAGTACATAAGAAAGTGTTTGTTTTTTTGCAAGACCACCTGTTAATAATAAACCTTTCCGGCTATAGAGCCTTTTGAATAAAAGGTGTCAATCCAAAGCGTTTGAAGAAATTCACAATACTTCTTAAAAACATGTACAATAATGCTTTCTTTTCCTGTCACTACATCTTTTATAGATTTTTTATTGAAAATCCCCGAAAATCACCTTTTTGCAACCTCTAGAGTGGCGTCACCCCTTAAGGAAATGAAGTTATCGTTTATACAGAACTTTATAAAATGTTCATCGCTTAGGAAACTTGAGCACATAAAAGAAATACGATCACTTGATCAACACTTAATTTTTCTCATAATCCGTAGTATTTTGTTCCTCTTTATTTTGACAACATGACGATCATGCGTATGCGTATTTCGGGTTAGGCACGTTAGGTAAATAAAATCTAAATTAAATGTTAAGTAATTCCTATATAAAGTAAAAGTAAAAAATGTTTGGTGAATGGTTTCATGCTCAGATGCATTTATTTATATTTTAAAGGTATAGCAAAAACTTTTAAAGATACATATTTTCTAGTTAAGGTATTCCAAGTACGGAGTTCAAGTACAAAACTTTCGAGCAAGTCTCATTTTTGAGTTACGTAGTTTCGACAACTGGCAACCTCGTACAGATCGCAGCTGTGTGTAAGACATTGATGAGAGTATATATTTAAGGAGCACAAGGTTAGGTTAGGTTAGGTTAGGTTAGGTTAGTGTTAAATACAGGGTGATTTTCAAATTCTCCAAAAAAAATTGGGAATAGATGCGGCATGAAAAATGGAGTTATTATCACAAAAAAAAATTTGTAAAATCCTTATAATTTCCGAGAAAAAAATTATTGAAGTTGTAGTAGTTTCCACCATTACATCGCTGGACAACTGTAGTCTCTAGAGTCATTCGCGTTGTGAGCTTTACGCAATACGCGTGGAAAGCCAAGTGGCCCTAGCGACTCGGAATACTGAAATCCGATTTTACAATTAGTATTAACGTCATTGCGATAGTATTTACAATAGTTTTTTAGTAGTTAGTGTCAAAAATGGCTTACGTGTATAGCAAATCGGAGTTGATGGATATCGTTTCAATTTATGGCGAAGTAAGACAACATTTGTGTTAGTTCGTAGAAACTGTGTAAGACGGGTCTAAATGTATTTATAGTACACGTCGGTGGATGAAATTTTGAACAGTTGTTGTAACATCAGGTATGTCAAGTTATTTTATTAAGTAAAATCACAAATTAATGTCATCAATTAATAATAACAGTAACGGCAAAAGCAGTTGAATTTGCTGATATAAAATAGGTGTTATAAAATTCTATTTATTTATTTCCTTGCGAAATTCTTTCAAGTTTTTGTCAATTTTTTATTACATTTCGCATTGCGTAAGGTCAGGTTTTACAGTGGACCAGTTTCTACTGTCGTGCAGAAGTGTATTTTTAAATAATTTTCGAACTGCCCCTTTTGATTTTTTTTTTACAAAATTGTATTTGTAAGAGTCTCCTGTACAGGGTTATTCACATAACATAAGTTTAGTTCGTATATTTGGAACGCCCTGTATAATTTATATTTTCATAAACTCATTAAAGTCACAGAAAGATTCCCTACAACTTTTATTGTAACTATTTTTGTCTAACTCAAAAAATAAAAAATTTAAGGGGGGTAAAATGTTATATGAAGCACCCTGTATAGTGGATGCATTACAATCATTTGGTAAGTATTTAAAATTTTTTGCAGGAATCGTCTTTATTGTTTGATTTATTTTATTAGTTCCTTTGAATGAAAAACGCAAATTAAAACGAAAAGGGTTTTGGTTCAAAATTCTGTAGACTGTCGGCTCGCGAGCAAACTAACCTTTCTTCAATGTGCGACATTGCCGCGTTTCGTTTAAGTGAATAATCATACAATAAACTTAAAAGTTTGAGTATTAATATATTTAATCCATTCCAGAATATTATATATAACGTATTTCTACACAAAGCTTGCTTAAAATTTGAGCAGTTTCTAGAATTGCAACGTTTTCTTCGTAACGACATTTTTCGACGCGGCGCCATTACTCCTATGCTAAACATAGTGAACTTTGATTGAGTATCACTCAGAAACCATGTGATAAAATATGCTTAAATCTTGCAAAAGTATCTATAATGTGCATTTTTCAAATTTTCTTTCTGATATAAAGGTATAAAATGTCAAAATGTAAAGGTTAAAATGTCAAAACAAAACGTAATACCGTGTCTTCAGCAAAACCGTAGTTTTCCAGCTATCTCAAAAAAATTAAGATTCTACAATTTCCTGTAGAACCGAAAGCGGATGTACCTACTGCGTTGAAGGTAAATAAAAATATTTTTATTTCTTAATATATCTCTCATGTATTTCAAATTTGTGGAAGATTAATCCAAAAAAAGTGTTTGCGTTCAATACCGGGCACTGAGAATGTTAATTAGTATTATAAAAAAATAATCCTAATTTTGATATTGATATTTATACAGTATCTACCCAATAAGCCTTAATTAAATCTTTGCAGGATTTAAAACAAAAAAAAAAAGGTAACAGTAATCCTTTTGTAGAATAAATCAAAATTGAAGCTGAAATGTAATCCTTAATAGGACGACGGAAGTTCAAATAGGTACCCCTTAATTTTAATTCTCGTTCAACTCAGCATCCCTCCCTTTAAACCTTTTCTGCTAATGAAAACACGACCCTTTTTGTTGTATTTGGTCAATATGGACAATCTTGGGTCAAAACCAGTCGGTTGTGTTCAATAAAATTAAAGTAATTTTATCAAAAATATCTAATTATACTAATGGCAGAATGAGATGATGCCTTCTTTCTAAATTAATATTTCGTTAAATTTTTTCTTAGAGATTTGTCAAGTAGCTGGATGTTTTTAGAAGTTGATTGACGTCAAG